CGCTCCCTAGACGCCTCAGGAGCTCTCCTGGTTCAAGTCCACGGGATTCTCCCCTTCCGCTTCGCCCCGTGCGCCCCCCAGTCTGTCTGCGAGCTGCGCTCCGCAGATAACGTGGCTGTGCGCGTGCCCGGCTAGAGGATCCTGCCCCGGGGACCCAGCCAACGCTCAGGCTCAGTGCGCATCCGCCGCTGAAGGGCTTGGAGACCCGGCGGGACAAGTCGCCTTTAGACAAGAGGGGGGATGAGCACAGCGTCAGCTGCTATCGGTGTACCTCGCTCTATCTCGGCTAACGGTGAAGCGCCGCCAAGAGCTGCCCCATTTACTATCCCACAGCCATGGTGAAGACTCACTGCTTTCCAGAAGTCTCTGCCCATCCCTCCCTTTCACTAAGGGTATATTCACCTTCCAAGGTCCCAGATTAATGTAGAAATCTCAATTTTTGATATCCCCCCTTTATGAGGGCCTCTTATTTTTCTCCTAATTATTAATCCCCCAAATTCTGGATTCCTATTATCAACCTTGGCCACCAGGGCAGCCTCAGCCTCTGTTTCTTATTAATGTTCACTGTTTTGGTTTCAGTTCACTGTTGTTTCATGTGTATAAATAATATAACTTCCATGGTTTCATTTACTCCCTTGTGACCTCAGCAATGCATATAAATTGCTTATTGTAATTAATCTGGGATCTGATTGAGGGGTAGTAGACAAACTTTTTAGGATATTCATTCTGCCATATAGACCATTCTCTAGGAAGCAGAAATCCTCCAACTCTGTGACTTCATCTGTGGAAAATGGGGACAATGATCCTGGTTTGAGAGGATTCTTGCAAAGAATGTGTAGGAGGAATGCACTTAGCATAGTGCTTCACATGGGTAGAGGGTGCACACAGCATCCTTAATGATACAGGAGGTGAGGCAAAAGCACTCACTAGAACACAATGCACTATTTGCTCCTTCAGCAAACAAATATTGCTCGTGTAGGTCATCGTTGTACATTGTATGGGTTTGGACAAATGTATGATGACCTACATCCAACATTAGAGCACGATACCAAGTGGTTTCACTGCCCTAAAAGTCCTCTGTGTTCCCCTTGTTCATTCCTGCCTCCCCCCAACTCCCTGGCAACCACTGATCATTTTACCATCTCTGGCAGTTTCGTCTTTTCCAGAAGGACGTAGAGTTAGAATCACTCATTATGTAGCCTTTTCTGATTGGTTTCTTTTACCTAGTAATACACCTTTAAGGTTCCCTTGTGTCTTTCTGAGGCTGATAACTCATTTCTGTTTATCGCTGATAATAGTATTCCCTTGTCTGGATTCCATTGTCTGGACATCTTGGCTACGTGCGAATTTTTGCAAGTATGAAGAAAGCTGCTGTAAACACTGGTGGAAGGTTTTTGGGTGGACACGAGTTTTCACTTATTTGGGTAAATTCGAATAACTTTGGAATCCTATTATTTTTAACTTTTCTATGCTGTTTTGTTTTAACGTGTCTTTATTTATTTAAAGATTTATTTATTTATTTAAAAGAATTTATTTATTTGACAGAGAGTGAGAGAAGGAGAGAGAGCACAAGTGAGTGGAGCAGCAGAGGGAGAGGGGGAAGCAGGCTCCCTGCTGAGCAGGGAGGAGCCCGATGCGGGGCTCGATCCCAGGACCCTGAGATCATGACCTAAGCCGAAGGCAGAGGCTTAACCCACTGAGCCACCCAGGAGCCCCTATTTATTTATTTTAAAGGGAAAGAGAGAGCATGAGCAGGGGGAAGGGCAGAGGGGATCCGAGAGAGGGAATCCTCAAGCAGACTCCCCAATCATCGAAGAGCCTGACATGGGGCTTGATCTCAAGACCCTAAGATCATGACCGGAGTCGAAACCAAGAGTCAGATGCTCAACTGACTGAGCCACCCAGGCGCCCCTTAATGTGTCTTTTGAAAGTGGCATGTAAGTGGAATTTTTAAAGCTGGTCTAAGGGATCAGTAAGGAAGCAAATACAGCAGAATATTAACTAAAGAATCTAGGTAGGAGTGCATGCATCTATATGGTACAATTCTTTCTGTTTGAAAATTTTTATAGTAAAATGTTGAGACAAAACGAAACAAAACAAACCCAGCCCCTCTGGAGAGTGCGTGCGAGCGTGCGTGCGTGCGTGCGTGTGTGTGTGTGTGTGTGTACCTGAGAACCAGCGGGATGTGCTGTGCTTCTGATCACCAGCAGAGGGCGTGCACGTGCCCAGTTTCCAAGCCAGCCCTTTCTCTTGGAACATTCGTTTATAATGATGCAAAATTCGGAGTTAGAGCATGTCTCTCCACTCTGGGCCCGGGGGGTTCCAGGCATATAAATGCATTATTGACGGCGGCAGCGGCCTCCGAACGCTATCTCCCTTCAGCCTGTGGCCCCCAGCCCATGTGGCCCCCACCCTGCCATCCTTTGCCAGGATCTACTTTACCTTCGTGTGTCCCACTTCATCTGCCGCCGGCTGGGCGGTCTCCCCTGTCATCAGTGCCCTCCTCGTGGTGTGGCTTGCTCTGCCTGGCCACCAATGTCCTTAATGGGATTGTTCTGGGAGGTAATGGGACCAGGTGCCCGCTGCATTCCGCCCGTTATGGGTTGAATTGTGTCCCCCCCAGAATGACATGCTGGAGTCCTGACCTCCAGTACCTCAGACATGACCTTATTTGGAAATACGGTGATGTAGATGTAATTAGTTAAGACAGGGTCACTGGGGAGGGCCTTAATCCAGTATGGCCGGTTTCCTTATAAAAGGCGAATTTGGACAAAGGCTCGTCCAGAGAGAGTCATATAGAGACAAAGGCATAGGTCCATGAACAAGCCAAGGAATCCTAAAAGTCACCAGTGCGGGTGAACGCTGGGAAGCTGCGGAGCCCTCCGAGGGAACCAACCCTGCCAGCACCTTGGTCTCTGGCGTCCAGACTGTGACGAAGTAGATGTCGGCCGCTTATGCCCCCCAGTCTGCGGTACTTGGGTATGGCAGCCCCAGGGAAGGAACACAGCCCAGCCTGCGCCTCCAGAGCGGGAGTACCGTCACGTCAATCACTCGGGAGTACTCGCTCCATTCGGGTGGCCCCCCGTGGAGGCGACGGGTGAGTCACAGGGGGTGCATGGGATTTGGATGGATCTGCAGGTCTCCTCCCCCTGCGGGGGAAGCACAGTCAGCGTGGGTCTGGTGGAACTGCCCCGCTGCCTAACGGGGACGTCCGAGGGGCGAGCTGAGCCCGCAGACCCGTCATTCCTTTGCCTGCCGAGGAGGCGAACACCTCGGCTCCACGGACTTGTGAACAAGCCCATCCCCACGAGCCGCTAGTGAGATCGGCATCCATTAGGCCCAATAAATGGACTTGCGTGTTCCCCACTCCCTGGCGTAAGATGGCATCTCGTATTTCCGCGGCAGCACCCGCAGCGGCCCCGCCCCCGCCCCGCCTCCCCCAGGGTGGCAGCATGACCAGGCTAACTCTGGGCTTGAGCTTCGTCCCCGTGGGGCCATTCGCTCTAATGCTTCGCCACTCTGGGAGCCCATGTGAGCCTGGATCGCCCGGAGACGGTGACTTGTGTCTTCAAAGTCGGCCTCTTTCTGCCAGCCGCGCCGGCTGCTGGAGCCCTCGGAAGCACGCTCCCTAGACGCCTCAGGAGCTCTCCTGGTTCAAGTCCACGGGATTCTCCCCTTCCGCTTCGCCCCGTGCGCCCCCCAGTCTGTCTGCGAGCTGCGCTCCGCAGATAACGTGGCTGTGCGCGTGCCCGGCTAGAGGATCCTGCCCCGGGGACCCAGCCAACGCTCAGGCTCAGTGCGCATCCGCCGCTGAAGGGCTTGGAGACCCGGCGGGACAAGTCGCCTTTAGACAAGAGGGGGGATGAGCACAGCGTCAGCTGCTATCGGTGTACCTCGCTCTATCTCGGCTAACGGTGAAGCGCCGCCAAGAGCTGCCCCATGTCACCGGGCGCACATGCCCCCTCCCCCCAAGAAACCTACATGGAGAAGGAAGAGGAAGTCGGTAGGATCCACTCATGCTGGGCCTGGGAGCTAGAGACCCCATTACGGCTAGACACAGTTCCCCTGCCCAGTATACAAGGCCTCCCTTCACCTCCCCTCTGGCAAGTTCCAAGTCACCCTTCAAGTCCGGGGCAGATGGCTAGTTGTCCCCCAACAACTCTTCTTCCACTCTTTACACCATTCTAGAAGCCCTGCCCGGTCACACGGTTAGCCAGCTCAGTGTCCCAGCCTCCTGGGCAGCTCGACATGGTTACATGACCGGTTTCTGGCCAACAGGGGGTGAGTGGAGGTGAAACGTCCCCTTTCTGCAGCTCGTCCTTGAGGGCAAGGAGCATGCATGGCCCCCTCTGTTCCCCTTCTCTCCTCCCTGACGGCCCAGTGACAGGGTGGTGGGCCCCAGAGAAGCGTCTCTGGACCACGAGATGGGAGACGGCAGGGCAGCTCGGCTTGGACGTCTCCAGGAGCAGGAGGTAAATGGCTTTGCTGAAGCCACTCTTGCTCTGGGGCCCTGCTACCAGAGCCAGGAGAGCGAGGCCTTTGAGAGCCGGACTCCTGGGGCTCAACCCCAGGCCCGTCGCTGCCCATCAGCATGACCTTGGGCAAGTCACTTAACGTATCTGTGTCTCAGGCTCCTCTCTGGAAGCAGGTGAATCATAAAAAAAAGCAGGTGAGGGTCGGATCGTTCTAAACACCTTGCACATACTGAGCGCTTGTGCTAACGTTTACAGCAGCTGGACCTGGGGCTCAGGCAGACACGGGCCCCTCAAACGCCACTCTCTCTGGGATGCTCCTTTGCGGGCCCATGTCTGCTCCATCCGTGAGCCCACGGCACCCACGGCCACCCCAGGAGCACTCTCCCGCGGGGCTGGATGGAAACTAACGCTCCTCGTGCGCGTACAAGGGAGGGGGCTTCCGTGTGTGTTTGTCCGCGGGACAAAAGTGAGAGGGGACTTCTGAAACACGGAGTGGATTTCTTTGTTATTAAGCAAAACATGTTTAAAAAATGTGACTCTTCACAGCTACTGCATTTTAGGCATAAAGGGTGTCTCTCCTATTACCGACTTCTTGTATTAAATTGCGTGAAATAATCTTTAGTAGGTTGATTTGTACAGACTTCCTCCATATATTTTTTCCTAATAATGAAACAAGGAGAAAAAACAATCAGCAAATGCCTGGTTTCCTAAATATTCTACTTTTTGAATATATATATATATATGTATATATATACATATATATATACATATATATATATATATTTGTTCATCCCATCTGACCCCCCTCAGATCATCTCTAGCGCTCCTTTGGGGCCCCCAGTAGCTGTGACTGGCCAACGGTGGGTCCACCGGGAAACTGACACCTGATTGCAGAACGTACCAGTGGGTCTCTGCCAAGTTCAAGCCCAAAACTTGATGAACAAGACAGGTAAGTAAATAATGTGTTTTTTAACAAGTTCACCTATGGATCCGCATTTGGCATTTTCTGTAGGCGAAACTCAGAATGACTTTTGGGGTCTGTCAGTGTGACAGAGACGCTCCAGCTCGCCCTTGGCAGCCTGGGAGGCCCCCGATGCACTGGGCAGCTGCCACCGTCCTCCCACCATGTCTGAGCCACATAGTCTCCTGGGAAAAGCCTTCTGACTCCCCCAGGCCCACCCAGTGCCCAACCCTGGGGCTCCAAGTGCCCTCTATGTTCTCCATCACCAGCCCCCACGTCTGAGCCACTGGGGGTCGCTAGTGTCTCCATGAGCACCTCCCAGGGTGGGTCACCTGGTCGTGTGGGGACCAGGGGTTTCTAAGCACTTAATTTCTGGCCTGTGACTCTCATACCTTCTCCCCTTCCTGTTTGAATTCTATACCAGGAGCCCGTGCTGCCCCAGCCGCTGCTGCTGCGGGGCCTCCCGGGGTATCCGCAGCCCCGGCGCTGGGCCTCTGGGCGGGAAAGCCTCGGGGGAGGGTGGACCCGCACAGCCGGCCCCGACCCTCCCCACCACGACCCTCCCCACCACTCAGCCGGATCTCCGCTCCGGTGCCGCACCTGCCCCCTCCAACCCAGCCTCCCCTCCCCCGGCCCCTTCGCCCCGGCCCTCACCGCACGCGCTGCTCCTTGGCCAGGCTGAGGTTGCTATAGTCCAGAGCCCTGCGTAGGTCGCGCCGTTGGCGCTGCTGCTGGCGCTCTGAGAGCAGAGCGGCACGCGCCATCTGTACCCTCCGACGGTCCCAGTCCACGTCCCGCTGCCGCTCTTCCTCCTGAAGCCTCTGGAGGGAGGAGAGGTGACTCACCACCACCCGTCCCCAGACCCAGAAGAGATCCAGGGAGTCATCTAGGAGACTCTTGCCCTCTCCCTTCACAGCTGGGGAAACTGAGGCTCAGGGCAGCAGGTGGGTGAGCAACATCGTGCAGGAAATCAGAGCAGACCACCCCACCTGCCACCGCTGCAGGTGGCCCAGCGGCTTCCCACACTTGGAAGGTGTCAGGCGGCCCTCTGAGGCCTGCAGGGACAGCAGAGATGGTCCCGACAGCAGCTGCCAGGACAGGGTTCCGAACGCAGGGCCTCCCACCCGGGACACTACTAGTGGGACGTGCTTTCAAGCACTGGGATCACCTGGTCACTTCTGGAACACACCGAAGGGACGCCCCACCCGACAATGGTCTCATGATCTTGGGGGTGAATTTCTGCATCTCAGCTCACTCCCCATGGCCTTCCAGATCCCCTACAAAAACCACTGAGCCTTAGGAGGGGAAACTGGATTAATGCAGAGGGAAGGGGTCACTCCCCGAACCCTGAGTAGTTTTATCAGCCGTCCTGAGCGAAAAGCAGCAAAAGCGAGTGGGGGCTGGGTCTGGGGACAAGCACGTGTCCTCCTGTCCACAGGTTTTAGGGCAGGGCTCCCAGCCACCCAGTGAACAGGGCTGGAGTGTCCAGTGGCCCCGCAGTCCCGGGTCCACAGGCCACCAGGCTGGCAGAGGCCCCGGTCCCCCACCCAGGGACTGAGCCGAGGCTGATGCCTGTTTTGTCACCTACAGGACGAGTCATTTTACCTGTCTATACCTCCGTTTCCCTTCCTGTAAAATGAGGCTGCTCGCAGTTGCCCTGAGGCACAACACAAGATGCTTTCGGGAAGAACACAGGAGGCCATGGTGACGTACCTGCCTCGGACTCGGAGACAGGCAACCTAACCGCCCTGTGCATGATCTCAGTTTTCCAAACCGGCTCCCTCCGTGGAAGAGGGGACGGGGTGGGCGGGGGAGGAGGCCCTGGGGAGGGGCTACAAGGTGGGGGAAGGGGAGTATTCATGAGTGCTGAGACCTGTTGTAGGCGTTTTCCTCCTTTGTGTTTCTCTGTCTTAATTTCCCACAAAATTGAAAATCAGATAAAAATGCTGCTCTCGGGACAGATGGTCGACCTTCCCTGCCAGACAGCCGGGCGGAATCGCAGGAGTGGAGGACAGAGCAGGGCCTTGCTAGGGGGACCGATACTCCCGAATCCAATGCCAGCCTCAGGGCTCTTCCCACGTTGGGCGGCTCCCCTGCCTCAGCCTGGCCGCCCCACTCTTGCTCACACATCCCCGCTGCCTCTCCCACGCACTTGACCTTCTGGGCCTGGAGGAGAGCAGGCAGGGGAGCCGTCCCACCTGCTCCTCATTCCCTGAGCCAGTTGCTGTCCCTCCTTCTGTACTCGCCTGACATGGCACCTGTCACCCCACCACCGGTGGTCGTCTGCTGCCCCGCCCATCCTGCAGGCGGGAGAACTTGCCTTTCCCTGGCTTCTCAGCCATCCCCCCTCCTAAAGACCAGGTGCTGACCTATCCGTTGTCACCCCGGGCACAGCCTACCATTGACCCTTGGACTTCAACGGGCATCAGAACCCCTGGGGGGCTTTCTCAGCCACACACTCTGGCCCCTGCTCCAGGAGGTCTGGGGTGGGGCCTGAGAATCTGCATTTCTCCCAAGTTCCCAGGCCATGCCGATGCTGCTGGTCCAGAGACCCCACTCTGAGGACTTCTGCTCCCCCCCTCGTCATTACCAAGAATGCCAGCCTCCCTACTGTCCCCACCCCAAGTGTCCTGATCCCCACCACTCTGGCCTGCCTCTTCTGCCCTCTCTCCGGTTCCCTGATTGCAACAGTCACTCCGCACCTCACCCCACGCCAGGCCCTCCCACCCATGGACCACACACTTTCCACCGCCCTGGCGCTCTTTGTGTCTTCATGTCCCTCCTTGCTCAGCCCAGTGTCCGTGGCTGACATCCCCTGGCAGACGCCCTCAGTGCCCTTGAAACTCTCGCTTAGTCAGACTTGGCGGGCAGGCCCTGGAGCTTGGTCCCCGTACAGCGGGCCGTGGCCAGGAACAGCACTGACTGCACTCACTGGGGACGCTTCAAGTTCATGACCTCCAGCCTCCGGGGGCCCTGACTCTGCCTGGCCATCCTGCCCTCTTACCAGAGGCCGTTCCGTTCCAGCCTTCCTAAAGGACCGTTAGCACTTGGTTCTCTGTCCTCAAATCCCCAACTGGACCCCCTCAGCCTCCACGGCTGACCTCCCTTCCTGTTCCCCAGGAAAGAGGGTCTCCACAAGCTGCCCTGCCCCCACAGTCAAGGATGGTTGGCCTGGACTCCCACCCACCCCAAGCCTCAGCTAGTGCTCCCACAGCCTTGTGCTCCTGCCACCCAGGACACAGGTTCCAGCAAGTTCCTGCTAGTGTCAATTTCCCTCTCTCTACTGCATCATCCTCATGGAATGACAAGTATGTTGTTATTTCTATAATCTGAAAAACCAAACAACTTTCTCTTGACCCTTTCTTTCTCTGGTGTCCGCACCAGCTACCACCCCCTCTCCCTGCACCCTTAAGGGCAAAACACTTTGAAAGTGTCTGCACCTGTGGTCTCCGCTTCCTTCCTGCCTGTGACCTTCGGTCACCCACACCCCTCCTCCAAGGATGCTCCAGATAGAGGCTCCAGGGACTGGCACCCGGGGATGGCATTCAGCCACAGCAGCCTAGTGGCAGTGTCTGATCCAAGGGCTCCCCTTGCTGGGCTCCTCCTTCCTCTCTGACTTCCCCTTCTCCAGCCCCTTCACTCTTCATAAACCATGGTAGGGGTGTGGCCTGTCCCATGACTCCTTGGATCCCTTCTCTCTGTCTTCACTCACTCCCTGCGTGGCCTTAGCCGGGTTCACTGCTTTAAATGCTATCTATGTGGCCACATCTCTATGCCTTTGCCAGCTGGGACCTTGTTCTGAACTCCAGCTGCTGGCTTTTCTTGGAGGTTGTGGCAGACAGTAGTACTTGCCTCCCTGTAGCCATTTTTCTTCCCTCCTTAGTAAAACAACTGCCAGCACCTTACTGCCTAGAATAAACTCCACCTTTCCTGGTCTTCTTTACAATTTGGGGCAACCCTGTGACTAAGTGTTATCTAAGGGAATTTGAGTGGAAGTGTCCCCTGAAATTTTGAGAAGTGTCCTTAGAGTGTTCTTCCTCACTCCTTCTTCCTGCTAGATGGGATATGCATGTGATGGCTGGAGCTCAAGCAGCCATCTTGTACTAGGAGGTGGGAGTCAGTTGCCAAGGATGGCAAAACATTAGTCAGTGACCATGGGGCTGCCATACCAGTCCTGGATTATCTTCCTAAGGATTTTGTCTACATGCAAGAGATAAGTTCTATTTTATTTAAGATGATGTTAGGGTTTTCTGCCACGATCAGGCACAGAATCCTGACAGATACAGATAACCTAATCATTGCACATATAACATATCCAAAGTTGCACTTGTGACTTGTGACTTTGACTCCACCTGCCACCCTGCTCCTCCCATCATCATCCTATCTCAGTAAATGCCAATTCCATCCTTCTCACTGCTCAGGCCTTCTAAGTGATCCTTCCTCCTCTGGGTCTCATATGCCACACCCAACCCTTCAGCCAATCCTGTTCGCTCCACGTTCAGAATAAATCCAGAATCCAACCACTTCTCAGCACCCTTGCTGCCAGTGCCCTGGCCCCAGCCAGCACCATCACCTTGACCACTGCAATATCCTCCCCAATGATCTCTCTCCTCCCCCACCCCAATCCAGTCCTTCTTCAACATTGCTGCGGGAGAGAGCCTGCTAAGTGTAAGTCAGAGCATGTCACTCCTCTGCTCAAAACCCTCCAGAGCTTCCCATCACAGTCACAGAAAAAGGCAAGTCTTCCCTGTGGACTGCCAAGGCCTTGACCTTCCACCACCCAGACCTCCTCCTGCACCTGTCCTCACTCCACTCCAGCCACCTGGCTCCTCACTCTTCCCTGAACAGGTCAAGCTGGTCCTGCCTCAAGGCCTTTGCCCTTGAATCTCGCCCTGCCTGGTGGTCCCTCCCCAGATATTTGCATCCTCCATTCCCTTGGCTCAGCCTTACTTCCCAAGCACATTGCCCATGTGTGGGGTTATTTGGCTGTCGTCTCCGCCCACCCACCCAGAACATAAACTCCTCAAAGGGTTCTTCTAGGGACAAGTAGAGCAGCAGCTATGACTAGATGCTGGAGGAAGGCAGCCGGGGGCCCAGGGCTATGTCTGCGGGCTCTGTGAGAAGGGGAGGGGGGCGCGCACCAGCTTCTCCTGGACTTGCTGCTTCTGGACCAGGCGGATCTGCTCCAGCTGCTCCTGGGTCATGCCCTTCCAGCGGTCGGGGACCACGCGGTGTGGCCCGAAGGAGCTGGCTGCCTGCTGCGGGTTCTCCGAGAGCAGGTCTCCACGCAGCAGGTTGGAGATCTCAGCCAGGCTGTCTTCTTGTTCCTGTTTCTTCTCTCGGATTTTCCTTTCCAGTGACTCGGTGGCCTGCGTAGAGGAAGACAATAAAGAAGATGCCTTGAGTGACCCCGTGGGGATTGAGGTACAGGTGGGCACATCTCCCTGCAAGCCCTTGATGGAAGAAGCGTTTGCTAAAGTGCATGTGGGACAGGCGGGGGCGGAGACTCCTCAGGCACGGATGCAGGGGACCGTGTGCCTGGATGGACCCCGGGTGCCTGGATGCCAGTGGGTGTGTAGTCTAGGCTAAGGGACTCCCCACCTGTTGCTTTTGAGTGTGAGAACCGCAGGTGTTTGCACTGATTTGCCAAAGCAGGGAGCTGCCTCCCGGGTTAGGCCGCCATCTCCCATTGTCTCGGCTTCACTCACCTCGGGGCAGGGCTCTGCACTCCTCCCAGTGGCCGGTCACCCAGACAGAGTGATTCACAACAGTAGTGACTTTTTTTTTTAAAGATTTATTTATTTATTTTAGAGAGCGCGCGCACGGGCATAAGCAGGAAGCAGAGGGAGAGAGAATTTCAAGCAGGCTCCCCGCTGAGCAGGGAGCCCCATGTGGAGCTCGATTCCAGGACCCTGAGGTCATGACCTGAGCCAAAACCAAAACCTGGACACTCAATCAACCGAGCTACCAGACTCCCCCTGACTGAGATTTGGGAAGTGTTTCCCACCCACCCCAGCATGAGTTAGCCCACTCTGACCTGACACAGGTGGGTGTCATCGTTACCCCCGCTCTACAGATGACAAGACTGAGACTTGGGTGGCTTTTCCCAGGCGGCAAACAGGAGCCTGGTCTTGTGCCCGCACAGCTGGGTTCCGGGCCCTGTCCCCGACGCTGACACCACAACGCCCGTGTAACAAAGGCCCACCCTCACCTCCTGGAGGGAAACTCCCCAGGGTGCTCTGGGCGTGTCCTCAGCCCCCAGTCGGAGCCTGGGACATACCTGGCTCTTGTTGAATTCTTTCACGGCTGCGCAAACTGCCTTTCTGGTGGCGCTTTCCAGATTCTGCAAATGCTTGGCTGTTTCATCAAACTGCAGCCTTGTCTTCAAGCAGAGATCCTCTGCAAAGGAAGCAAAATGTGGCCAAACCTTGATGCGCAGCCCGGTTCCTTCCCAGGCGTGCAGAGCAGAGCGTCTCTTCTCCTGCGCTTATGCACAGAGCAGGGGATTCAGGTAAAGCTCTTGGGTGCAGGCACGGGGTGTTAGCGCTCCTACCAGGGATCCCTGATGTCGGCTGTGGTCCATCACCCTCACAATGGGCAAGGGAGCTCTGCCGGGGCACCCAAGGGGGCTCCCCGGAGGAGGGGTGTTGGAGGTGGGGGAGATAGCCATGCAATCACAGTAGGACTAAAGATGTAGTGTCAGACAGGAGCAGGCTGCCATCCCCGCCCAGACGCTTTCTAGCTCTGTGAACCTGAACTATGACCCGGCCTTTCTGAGCCTCCAGCCCTCTTCGGGGAGGTGGGACAACTCCTCCACTGCACGCTGGTTACATCTTTTTAAGAAGTCGCTGATCACAAGTTTCTTCACATGGTGTTGGTGGCCCATGGTGTCCTCATTATCACCAAAAACAAAGACCCAACTCTAGTGGCGAGTTAGTGGCCTCTGCTCCCCTTGAGCTTCGGCTGCCCCACATGCCGGTTTATGTGCTCGGTTGGCCCAGGAGCACACACGGACTGTGTGCTTTGCCGGGCGCGGAGTGCACAGTGGTGGGTGAGACATCCAGGGCTCTTCCCACCTTCTTGGAACTTACTGTCAGGAGACGAGCAAGGTCATAAACAAGTGAACCCCAAAATATACCTATGAGAGCACATTGCATTAGTACAAAGGAGGGAAAGGGCGGAGAGCAGGTGCAAAGGGTCTGATGGGATTTGCCAGGATCCAGAAGGGAAAGGTAGCCAAGAGGCCGGAATGGAGCGCGTGAGGTAGGAGCCATAAGGTGACACGGGGTGGGGTTGGGGGATGCTGAGCAGGAGCCCAGCATGCAGGGCCTTGTAGGCTACAGAGGATTTTGCACTTTGTTCCATATGCAATGGGAAGCCACCGGATGGTTTTAAGGTGGGATGGAGGGAGTGGTGGTGACGTTGTCCAACTTGACATTGTTTAGAAAGTAGCACTCTGACTACTATGTCGAGACTAGACTGGAAAGGACAAGAAAGAAAATGAAGGACAGTTAGAAAGCCCTTGGTGTGGTCCCTCCAGGTGAAAAAAGGCGGTGGCTTGGGTCACTGTGGTGACAGCAGGGATGGGAGAAATGGACAATTCCAGATAAAACATGGGGTAAAAGCTGAGGGCAGCCTGGAGACAAGGGTGCTTCAAGGAGGACTCCCAGGTTTGTGGCTTGACTAGGACAGAGGTGTCATTCACTGAGGGGAGGAGAGTGGAGGAGGAACAGAGCCAGAGAAAAATTATGGTTACTTTCCAGAATATTCTGAGGTGCCTGGGGTGATGTCCAGGGGTCAGTTCAAGGAGTAAGACCAAGGCTGAGACAAAAGCTCTCAGTCAGAGATGGAAAAGAGGAGTACCTGGGAAGTGGGTGAGATTTTTTTTTTGAAAGGCCTATAAATGCATGTTTCAATAGGTATCTATGTGCTAAGAACTAAAGAGAGAGCAGTGAATTAAAGAGACAAATCTCCTGCCTTCGCTGAGTTGGGGATGGGATCCTGGGGAGGGACGACAAATACGTAACCGTATAGTATGTCAGTAATGAGTGCTGTGGAGACATGGATACAAGAGTGCGGCGATGGGGGAAGGTAGAGGGTTGACATTTAAAATGGTGGTCATGGAGACTTCTCTGATAAGATGACATTTCGGCAAAGACCTGAAGAAGGATATGGGGCAGAATATGCAGGTATATAGGGAAATGTTTCCAGGCGGATGAAACAGTTGGTACAAAGGCCTTGAGGCAGAATGAACCTGATGCCCTTACCATTCTAAGCAAGGCAGCCAGCGTGGCAAGGCTGGGGTGAGTGAAAGGCAGTGTGTTGGGGGTTCAGTCCAGACTGGGAAAACTTTATTGGTCCTTAAAATGAATCTGGCTTTTATTCTGAGTGAAATGAGAAGCTATTGGAAGGTTTTGAGCCAAAGATCTAGCTTAATTTTTAGCAGGGCCATTCTGTTCGTTGGGTTGAGGAAAGATTACAGAGGGACAAGGGCAGAAGGAGGGAGACCTCTTAGAGGCTACTGGTGTTGATAGCTTGGTCCAGAATGGTCATGATAGGGGTGAAGGGAGGTAGTTGCCATATGAGATGATTTGCTGCTGGAGGTGAGTGCAACATTTGAGAGAAAGGAAGGAATCAAGATGCCTTGGGGTTGGGGCCTGACCAGCTAGAACCGTGAAGTTCCCATCGACAGAGGTGGACGGTCAGCTTTGGAGGGCAGGTGAACGCGTCTTGTATTGACATCGGTAACTTTATCAGACACCCGAGAGCAGACAGCTGCTGGGAGGTGACTGGATGTATGTGTCTGGATTCGGGGAAGAGTCCAGGCTAGAGATGTAAATTTGGGGAATGGTGGCCTATGGTGGGATTTAAACCCATAGGATGAGCTATAATCACCAAGGGGATGAGTGTGGTTGGGAGAGGAGAGGTGCAGAGGGTCCTGGTGAGCAACTGCATGGGAGGTTTGGAAGGAGAGGAGAAACCAGCGAAGGGCCTGGGGAGGAGTGCGGGGCGGAGGCTGTGTCCTGGAAGCCAGTGGGAAGGGAGTGTTCCCAGGAGGAGGAAGCGGTCGGGATGGCACGGGCTGCGGATAAAGGAGAGGTCTGAAAACCCAGCATGGAGGTCCCGGTGATGGTTCGGGACAGGCCAGGCAGGTTCGGGACATGGCGAGGGCAGAAGTGTGGTGGGGGTGGGCCATCTGGGGAGACGTCGCTCCTGGAGAGCAGAGCAGGAAGAGAAGGGGGTGAGGCTGTGAGGAGGGCCAGCTGCCCAGGAAGCCTGCAGGGAAACCACCAGCCAGGCAAGGTGGGGGCCTCGCTCCCTGTCACAGCTCCTATTCGGTCTTCACCAAAGCACTTCTTTGTCCTGTCCCCTCGCCGGCACGTGCACAAGAGCAGTGACACTCTCCTCTGGGTTGCCGCATCTTCCTGGCACGAGAAGTCACCAGAGATCGGAAGCTGCTGGGAGCCACGCACAGAGACTCTGGTAAAGCAGAAACCACCGGAGTGCTGGCAGGATGTCCTGGACTTACAGTGCCCTCCAGGAGAAAGGCTGTTTCTGGCCTTGGAGGCTCTTCCAGAGAGGATCTCTGGGCCTGGAGGGTCCTGGGGAGGGCATGCGATTACGGCGCCCTTGGCTGCTCTGCTCAGACCCTGTAGGGAGTCCAGCGCAGCCCTAATCAGCCCCAGCAGCATCGGTGTCTTCCCAGCAGACTATAAGCACGCTGAGGGTAGGGCGCATGGCACTCCGAGTTGCGGGGCACCCCAGCACCCAGCTGGAGCCCGGGCTCGGGGTCCAAGCTCAGAGCCACTTTTCTACATGACTGACATATGACCGAAGACATTTAAGTCCTCGAACGCCGGCTGACACTGGTCAACACAGCACATTGGTAAGACTTAAGAGACAAAACGAAGCTGGGGAAAAGACCAGGGGGCTGGGCTGCTGAAGACAGTTTTCAGAGCAATTTGTCCTCCTTGTTGCATTACCTGCACTTCTGTGCTGGGCGCGGGCATTCTCCCACTCCCTCTGCTGCTGCAAGGACCATTCTCGGTTTTGTTCCTCCTGGAATTTCTTCCTCTCGCGGAAGTTTAAATCCTCTCCCATGAATCTCTGCATTCCTGATACCGTATTCCGGATATCGTTATCCGACTGCCTAGCTGGAAGGTCTTTCCTAAGGGCTAGGGGGTCTGATAGGTCAAATTCACGGCGCATTTCTGGCCTCTGGAAGCGCTGCTGGAACTCATTGATGGCTTTACAGAGGCTTTTCTTATCCCTCCTTTCCCGGCCTTCTAATATGCATGTGATTTTGTCATTGTGCCTCATTTCAGCAGCTAGAAGAAATAGAACATATCCGTAAAATTAAGGTTTGGAGAAAAAAAAAATTGAATCTGCTTTAAAAAATAATTTTTGGTGATTCTAAAAGTAATATAAGCCTTTGAAAAGTAACACAAGCATCAAAGAATTAGTATTCTGAATATAAAAAGAATACCTAAAAATCAGTTTAAAAAACCAAACAGGGACGCCTGGGTGGCACAGTTGTTTAAGGAACCGACTCTTGATTTGGGCTCAGATCATGACTGATCAAGTCAGGAGTTAGGATCTGTTCTCCATGAGAACCCTGTTTAAGATTCTCCCCCTCCCTTTGCCCCTCCCCCTCCACGCCTGCACACACACACTCTCTCTCAAAACAAGCAAACAAACAAACAAACAAAAACACCAAAAAATCAAAGCAAAAAGTGGGCCAAGTAAAGGATCAGGCAAATCACTATAAAGAAACCGAAATGATCACTAGGCTTCTGAAAAGATGGCTGGCCTTACAAGATGGGAACCATCTGATAAATTGGCAAAATATTTAAAATGCAAATAATAGCATATATTAGTAAGGACATTAGTAAGGATAGTAAGGAGACAAGAGTTCTCATTCACTGCTTGGGAGAGTGCAACTTGGTACACTTGTAACTTTGGAAAGCAAGTCGTCGCCATCTCGTAAAACTGAAAACACGCACACACAATGACAGGTCCACTCCTAGGTATCTCTCGCCCGTGTGTACTAGGGACACAATGCATGCCTGGTCATTGCAGCATTGTTTGGAAAAAGGCTAAATCAGCCATGAGTAAGGGAATGAATAAAGAAATAGTGGCTAATTCATACAACAAAATACCAAAGATAATTAAAATGAACATTCTACATGCAGATCACTGATTAATTTTTTTTTAATTTTTTAAAGATTTTATGTATTTGTCAGAGAGAGAGAGAAAGAGCACAAGCAGGGGGAGCAGCAGGCAGAGGGAGAAGCAGGCTCCCCATCGAGCAAGGAGACTAATTCAGGGCTCGATCCCAGAACCTGGGGATCATGACCTGAGCTAAAGGCAGATGCTTAACTGACAGAGTCACCCAGGTGTCCCTATTTTTATTATTTTTTTAAGATTTTATTTATTTGAGAGAGGGAGAGACAGATTGTGCAAGTGAGGGGGAGGGGCAGAGGGAGAGGAAGAAAAGGTACACTGAGAAGCGAGGAGACCGACAACAGAAGCTAATCTCAGGAACCTGAGATCTTGACCTGAGCCAAAATCAAGGGTCGGTCACTGAACTGACTGAGACACCCAGGCACCCCATGACTGATTAATTTTAAAAACATGTTGAATAAAAAAAAATTCCAAAGGATCCATTCAATGTATTTGTGTAAGATTTAGGTGAAATTTTAAAACACCCACAAAAAATTTTATGTCATCATGGATATGTACATAAATAGTACAATATTATAAGAAACATGCATGGAAATGATGTACCTGTCTGAGGAGGGAGGAAAAGGGAAGATGAGGTGGGGGAGAGATCTATCTATCTATCTATCTATAGCTATACCCACATATGTAGGGCTTATATATATTTATGTATACATTTAAACATTTATACTTTTTATATATAGTTATAGCATTTATTTATCTATAGCTATACATACACATACATACATATATAGCATTTAATTCTCAAAAAGAATTGTTTTTTAAGATTTTATTTATTTATTTGACAGACAGAGACCACAAGTAGGCAGTGAGGCAGGCAGAGAGAGAGGAGGAAGCAGGCTCCCTGCTGAGCAGAGAGCCCGATGTGGGGCCCGATCCCAGGACCCTGAGATCATGACCTGAGCCAAAGGCAGAGGCTCAACTCACTGAGCCCACCCAGGCACCCTCGAAAAGAATCCTTAAAAATAAGATATCTAAAGCCAGTTTGGCAAAATATTAACATCTAATCTGGTAGGGGGGTATATATGTGCCTGTCCTATTGTTCTTGTAAGTTTGAATTATTTTTAAACATAACACAAAAAATGGTGAACTGTTCAGAAACTAGAGAAGAAAATAAACTTCACTCATATTCTATCACTCCAACATCACCACTGCTTACATTTTGGTATGCTTTCCTTCTGTCTTTTTCTAAGCTTATTTTTAAAAATATATTCTAACATTTAGTTGATAGCCAATGGCATATATAATTTTGCATCCTGCTTTTTTCTATTTAAAAAATCCTTATGGGGGCACCTGGGTGGCTCATTCAGTTGAGTGTCTCTTGATTTGGGCTCAGGTCATGATCTCATGGTCATGAGATCGAGCCCCATGTTGGGCTCCACAATGTGTGCGGAGTCTGCTTGAGATTCTCTCCCTCTGCCCCTCCCCCTGTCCTTGCTCTTACTCTCTGTCAAATAAGTGAAGAAATATTTTTTAAAAAATAAAAAACCCTTATGGTACTTAAAAAAAAATAAGCCGGCATTGTTGCACCTGACGTGGGCAATGAATTCTATTCGAAATTTTTATCTCTGCTAGCACGCTCTCATATCCAGCTCTGAGTAGATGCAGGGGTGTGAGCTAAGAGGGTGTGCATGTCATTTAGTGCAAGCAGCTGTCCCCAGGAGAAGGTCTGGAACTTTTGTGCCAGTGTGTTTTTGTGCAGTGCGCCGCCCGCCCGGTGTGTGTTTAGGGTTTTTCATATCCAGTTTTTAAAGAAAACCAATAAAAACGTACATTTACCTTCAAAATATATTTCCTACACTGACATAGAATTCAATAGCTGTTTGCCTTTTAAGAGAGAGAGAATCAGCACATTAATTGAGCACAGGCAACTGTGAAGTTTTAAGAGGAGGAGGAGTGTGAAAATGACAAGTTTTACATATTTGAAACATGAGGACTGGATTCTAGAGGTACACGGCCCTAACCTGCTGGGCAGGCTTCAGGAAATGCTCACCAAAAGTTTCATGTCCAGCTTTTTCAGTTGCTTCTTTTATTTTCTGGTCACGAACCTGAAGATCCCAGGCTTCTGTGTCTCCCTGGGAACGGAAAACAAGGGGAGACGAGTTACAGCCAGATCATTTTAGTCCGACGATGACCATCCTACTTACCTCTTTACAGCCTTGTTCCACAGTTAACCGGTCGTCTTAGGTACACATCAGGTCTTTTCATACCTGGATGCCTTTGCTTATAGCTGGATCTTCAGCCTGTCCCCAGAGCTGCTTTCTCCCCTTGTGCTAGTTAACAGATATCTTCGGAATACAGCTTAGACAACACCTCCTCTGGGAAGCCCTCTCTGACTTCCTCTCCTGGCCCCAGTCTGTGCTCCCCTGACACCCTGAGCGCCCCTCCCTCACAGCACTGGTGCCGCTGCATAGTGATGTGACAATGCCTGCCTCTCCTCTCCCCCGTGGGCCATGAACTCTGCAAGGCCAGGCAGGGATTGCCCTGTTCCCCATTTCCTGGGACCAGCTTAGGCTTGCCACAAAGCAGGAAGGCCACCGGCATTTGTCCGATGGACGGACTGGAAGGATCCCCCGACGACGTAGAAAATCTGGCTCAGAGAAAGGAGACCCGCGCGCTCCGGCCTCTTTGGAGCCGCCCCGGCGGGCAAGCCCCTCCCTGCTGCAGGGCTCCAGGCGCCTCTCGGGCCCGTGAGAGCGAGCGGCATCGGGTCTGCGAAGGCCTTTCCCGCCCTCGGCGGTCGGTACCACGAGCCAGTCTTCCCCAGGACCGGCGGCGCGGCTCGCGGCTGCGCCCGGATCAGCGGCTCCGGGGCGCGGGTTCGCCTCCGCCGTCCCGCCGCCCGCCTCCCTCGCCACCTCCCCTCACGCGCCGCCCCGGCCCGGGGACCTCACCCCGATGATCCTGCTCCTGGCGTCGAAGATCCGTTTCTGCCGGCACAGCTCGTTGTGCCTCCTCCTGCCCAGAGCCAAGGACTGCTCCAAGTCCCGGGGCTGCGCCAGCGCCATGACTAGAAGAGGCGAAGAGCCCCTAAGGGGCTTTTAAGGCGCGCGAGATGAAAAAGGGACACAAATAAAACTAGCTGTGGCCTAAGCGAGGCTGGTTCGGCGGCGATCGGCGCGCGTTCCTCAGCTCTCGGTGCGGCTTTCTGCTACCTCGCGGGGCGCGCAGGCCGGTTTCCTCGGAGACGCAAACACCCCGGTTGCTTAGGAACGGCGCGGCGCCCGCTGGGTTCTCGCCCTCCTCTCGCGAGACTCCGCGAAGCCCTTCCCGCGCTTTTCCTGCCCGCGGCGTGTGGAGAAGCCGCTTGAGGCGCGGAGGGCGCAGCCATGGGCCACCTGGAGGTGCTGCTCGTGGAGAACTTTAAGTCGTGGCGGGGCCGCCAGGTCATCGGCCCTTTCAGGAGGTTCACCTGCATCGTCGGCCCCAACGGCTCCGGTAACTGGGACCCTGAACGCGTCTGCCCGCCCCGCCCGTTCAGGCCCCATTTTGCCCAAGGGGACGTGAGGGTGACCTCGCGTGTGGGACTCAGGCCGTTGCTGCCCACGGACCTCGGCCAGCCTCACCCCTTCACCCCCACCCGCCCTCCGCCGCCGGACCGAGACCCTCCCCCTCCTCGGGACCCTGACCTTGACCCTCTGCCCTCCGCCCCCGGGCCCACTCTCGCCTGGACCACAGACCCCTACTCTCTCCGCCGCTTGGACCCAACCTCCTCTCTCCAGCCCCCGGCCCTCCGCAGCGCGTACCCCGGAACCTGACCCTCCCCCTCTAGCCCTGACTCCAGCCTCTGCCTCGGCCGCCAGCTGTCCGTCCTCGGCCGCCGCCGCCCAGAGCCCGACCCTCGGCCGCCACCCCCCGCCCCCCGTCCCCGTCCCCAGTCCTGCCCTGCCCGACCCTCACCCTCGGCCACCCGGCCCTCCCTCGCCCGCAGGTGCCTGCCCTCTCTGCCCAGCTCCCAGAAGCCCACCTTTGCCCACTGACCCTCGACCTCCCCCCCCCCCCCCCCCCCCCCCCCCCCCCGGCCCCCCCCCCGACCCCCCCCCCCCCCCCCCCGCGCCCGGTGTTCGTCCCAGGTGGCTGCCCTCACCCTCTGCCCCCCGCCCCTCACTTCAGCTGCCCGGCCCTTCGCCGCCAGGTGCCCAGCCATGCCTTCTGCCCGACCCCCGGCCCTCTGGCACCTGGACCCTGGCCCTCGCCCTCCAACCTCCGTACTCAGCCCTCCCCTGCCAGGTGCCCACCCTTGCCCTGTGCGGCTGGGCCCGACCCTCCTCCACACCCAGCCCCAGGTCTGCCCAGGACCCTCCTCTCCTTTGCCCTGGCTCCGCGGGCTTTGCCGGTTTCTCCTCCCGCGCCGAGCCCTAGTCCCCTCCCCTCAGGGGCGCAGTTGTCCTTATAAAGCAGGCCCAGGATTCCGAACTCAGTGACATGAGACCGCTTGTTTCCCTGGCTGCTGACGCGGCACCAGGCAAAGCGCAAGCCACAAAGAACACGATCGAGCAGGAGGTAGGAAGTGACCCTGCCCGTCCTGAAGCCATTCTGCGAGTCCCCAGTTGAGATAAGGCCCCAGTCAGGGTCAGCGCCGGGCGCTTCCGGCTCACGGTGTGCAGGCAGCGAGGGATCTCTGTTCCTTTGGAAGATCAGCCCGGCAGAGCCTTCCCCACCGCCTCTTTGAAGTGGTCAGGCACAGAGGGGCTGGTGTCTTAGGAGTCCCTCTTCCTAAAGGGATTTCATCAGTCTTGGGCCTTTGCAGACCTCCTGTTTCTGCTTGCCATGGGTTCTGAGTGTGTCATGAGCTGGGGCAGGTCTAGGTGACATCTGGTCTCGGCGGCGATGCCCTTACCGGCTACTTCATTGCTTGACACAGGCCGCACTTGCCAGGAGTGACTCCGTCTTGCCTGATGCACCTCTCGTCTCCATCCCCTTCCTTTTCTCATCCAAAGACTAAGTGAGAGAGAGCTAAAGGAAATCATTGGTTTTAATGAGCCTGAACAACTGTATGGATTCAAGGAAACGCCTACATAGGAATATTGTAATAGTAACAGCATTCGTGGAGCTTTTACCAAGCTCCTGGCACCCCTGTTTCAGTGCTTATTGTGACTATTAGCCCATATTACAGTTTAGGAAACTGAACCTCAGAGGGTCCAGACGAATCTCCACAGTCACCCAGGAAGGGCAGAGCCTGCGCTTGAGTTCAGGCCAGGCTCCCTACTGCTTTGCGGTGAGAATCCACAGACATAATGGCCCCAGCAGGCAGAGGGCCTAAAATGAGAGTTCCTGTGAGATTTTTCCTAACTCACATCTTTGTGGCTCTCTCAGGCCAGATTTCCTTGATTCTGTTATCAAATAGACTTTGAAAAGATAAAGGTAAGAATACAGGAGTATTTATAATAATCTCCACTCATTTCTCAGGTTAGTAGGCCCCGCCATCAGTAGATTCTCACCTTTGAACTGGTGGTTATGTGACGGGTTGCTCCGTTATATTTTGTTCTTCCAACAGTGTGATATTTTGAATGAGTATTTGAGTAAAGTCTTATACTGCAGTCAGCCTAAATTATTTGCCCACTGCTGTTTAAGATCCAGACAAAGTGGTGTTTTGAACTTTTTTAAACTAGTGCCAAACGTAAGTTTCAATCTTACTTCTTTTCTTAATTCAACAGTACATATCGTTATTAACAATATATCTTAAGGCTATCGTGAAAATGCCTTTACAACTTCTTCTTATCCCACATGCCCTGGAAGCTCCCTTCCCCTCCTGAGTCTCACTGGTAACCCGGAGACTTTGCTTAGAACCATATAAAGCCAGTCATGGATTATTTCAACATTACCTTTAATATCTTCCCACAAAAATTTCTGGTTTACTTATTGCTGAATTTTGCATGGGCTCTTCACATTCTCCCATACAATGGCCAAAACTCAGTGTAATGCTAATCCAGGACTAATTTAATATATTCATTTGAATATTTGTCAATAAATCATCTTTTTAAAAATCTTACAAAATTACTGGCACATTTAGGTAGATTTTATTAAACCAATCGATAATTTTCTGTTTTATACCCATTTGTCTCTTAAACTTTAATTTAGCTAGTTGTGGTCATTCTTTTTGTAGTAATTTCCTATTGCTAGCACCTGTTAAAATTTGATATGCTCTCACTTGTTTTTAGTAAATCTAATGTTGGGGTTTTTTGTGGGTAGTGGAAAAATTTCATCTTTAATCCTAACCTTGATGTTTTTCCACTTAAATTTAACAAATTGTTTTTGTGTATATATAGTATTAGAAGCAGAAGAAAGATATATACAATGAGACAGCTTCTGCTCCCAAGACATTGGGAGTATAAGAAAATGACACACTTGTTGAAATAGAAGGCCTGAGAACACTGTTTATGGAACTTTAAGCAAGGAAAATACTAGATCTGATATAGGGAGGTATGGACAGAAAGAGGTAAAGATAAGGAAAAATATTCTAGAGGAATTAGCATTTGAGCTTGCTCAAAGAATAAAGAGTACTTTTCTAGGGATTTGTGAGTCTATTCTGGGACAGTTATAGCCCAAATTGTCAAGAATGTAGTACACGTGTAGAGGAGCAATGGTGTGTAGTGTTGGAATCCTATTGGGTAAGTCCTGGCCAGAATGATGTATTTAGCTTTATGGAAAAAATAGTAGACTTTGGAGCAGGGACTGTTGAGCAGGGAAGTTCCACAAGTGTGCCTGAGCCTAAGGCTATCCTCTCCACTTGTGATTTATATCCTGCCCCTTCCTCGCTTCTTTGCTTCTATGATTTTTTTTTCTCTTTTGGACTGTATCTTCCTCCCTTATTGGATAATTTTCATTGGCAATGATACATGCCTTATCAACACTCTCATGACATAGAGGATAGCTAGCTATATGAAAAGAAAATACAGTACAGATGTTAATTGTAGAATTTAGTGGTAAACATATGGATGTTTACAGTGAAATTCTTTCAACTTTCTTGTGTGTTTGGAAGTTTTATAATGAAATGTTTAGGGAAAAGCCCTTGAACTTCACTGTCTCTTTAGGCTGTTGCCCCATTTTTTCAGTACAGGGAAACTCTCTGAACCATCCTCGGTGCTCTTGATTCAATTTTCAGTCCCAAGCTCCACTGAAATGACACTTATCTAGGTCACCGTTGACTACATCTTGTAAGAGTCAGTAGCCAGTCTCCTTCCTCATCCTGTTTGACTTATCAGTGTTGTTTCATTCGTGTAAAAATAATGGCATGCCTACTAAGTCCCATACACTGTTCTCATCAGTGAACAGATAAAAATCCCTTCCCATGTAGAACTTAAATTCAAGTGCAGAGAGATAGACAACAAAATATGAGAAGGGTATAGAATGTTAATGTCCAGTATTAAGTAGAAAAATAGAAACAGGAGGGGAATCAGAAATGCTGGGGTTGTTTTTAAAGAAGTTGGTCAAGGGAAGATCTTGCTGTCTTGGTGGCATGGCAGGTCACATTTCCTCTCTCCCTTGAGCCTCTGGTCTTCTGACTTTGTGTACCAAGTAGGTTTTCTCCTGTGTCACCGGCAAGCCCTCAGTTATTGGCGGCTTCTCCCCTAGGTTTCTTAAGCACTGGAGTCCTCCCACCCCCCTGGAAATACATCCTCTGTCTGTGTATACCTTATTTTCTTTGCCCAGTTCCATAGCTTCAAACACCATCCTTATGCTTCTGACTTTCAAAATTATATGCCTAGGCTATAATAGTCAGCCTTTTTTTTTTTTTTTAACTATTTCTAGTAGACATGTGACATACCATAATCAGGGGTGCCTGGATGGCTCAGTTGAGTTCAAGTCCCACATTGAGCATAGAGATTACTTAAAAACAAAATCTTTAAAAAATACTATAATGAGAAAGTGTAGCAAATTTCCTCTCCCCTACTTCCTGCAGACAAACTTGTTCCTTCTGAGGTCTTACCTTCTCACTAAGGGGCACCATTTACTCACTCAGACCAGATAGCCAGAGTAATTCTTTATTCCTCCTTCTACACCCCAC